TGTCTTAAAGTAATTTAAAAATTATAAATGGAAAACTCCATGCTGGGACAAAGTAGCATTGATAATGATGATTATTCCTTACATCTGTTTTGACGTCTGATAACCAGGACACCAGCGTGACCAAATACTTCATGTTTGCTTATCACCAACGAATGTCTCCACAGCCCAGCAGAAAAAAAACCCACACAGTTATCATTATCTGATATTTTTAAAATGCCTGAAGTGTAGTTGCACCTAAAACCCAGTAAATACACCTGCACAGAAGCTGGTGAGCCTTTGGCAGGTAGGAACAGCGACGTCAAACCCGTTCGGAGGAGGTGTAAACCTCGTGGCTTTAATGCCTGACCTTTGTTTCCTTCATTAGCAGGGCTGATTGGAAAGGCAGATGTTCTTCTTCTTGAAAATCCGAGATCCACCTCTAAACCCCCATATTGTTTGTACCTACAGATGGAATTAGAACTTCCTGCCATTGTCCGCGCCGTACGTCCCACCGCCCCCGACTGACGCATATTGTATAGTCTGCTCATGTCACGGTGTTTGCAAGATGAAACTGTTTCTAAAACTAAGAAATGGCCAAAATCCAAAGATTATTATCATCCCATCCATGCCTCGCAATGGTGCATGAGGGAATTTTCCCTACCACAGGCACGCTTTTCCTTGGTCTTTCCTTTGATTTCTGGCAACAGATGTCGGTGGCACGTTGTTGTGACTGACACTAACTTGTAAATTATCTTTAAAGTGAGGTTTTAAAAAGGGCTAAAAGACATTTTTCATAAAGGGGGGAAATATATTTTTTAAAAGAGATAATTTTTTAATAAACGGGCAAAATGATTTTTTTAAAAGGGAATTGTGATTCAATGGCTACGACTTCTTTCAAATGATTTTTAAGTATCATTAGGACTGTAAATGGTAGAAATTGTATTTTACATTCTGATTTTGGCATTCAAAGGAACCCTATGAGAAAGTAATTATCTAAAATTTGGGATGAAGACACGGAATGTCCCAGCTTTTTACTTAAGAAACAGATTTTTTAGTGGAGCACGTATAGCAATGTTAAAGGGAAGTGTCTAGCTACCTTTACCCTCACCACATCAAGTCAGCTCTTGCTTTGTCACAAACAAAATATTTCCTTTTTTAAAAAGAATTATTGTGCCAATTTTCAAGAAACATGAATATTTGTGTGCATAGAAGATTTTTCAAGTCAAATGACAGTGAAAAGCCCAGATGATGTAGAATAATTAAGTTTTAATTGATGATCATTCAGGCATTCTCTCTACCTCTGGAGCAATACCAGCATAAAGATGGAGCCAAAACAATTGAGATCAACATATTTTATATTGAAGGGAAATAGCTTTTTATGACCCGTAGAATTAATCTGTGGAGTTTATTGCTGTAGCTCTCCCAGGATATAGTACATTGTGCTTTCTCAAACCTAGATTAAACAGTTATTCATGTATAAAATAATGTTTGCAATTACATTATATCTGCAGGATAAAAATTATCACAGTTACGACCGTTATTTTTCAGGCCATCAACCAATCACTAATTCAATAATTCCAAGAGTTATGAGAGAGGGAACTTTGAGGAGACATCACTCCATAATTATCAATAATGCAATTTCATGGAACTTCTCTTTGATTTCACAAAACAGAAGGGACCACACAGCACCATTATAAATGTTTACGCATAGAGTCCTCTTTTCTCTTTCTTTTCTTTTCTCTTTTCTTTCTTTTCTTTTTTCTTTTCTTTTCTT